CGCGTGTCGTTCGGGTTTGCGTCGTTAAAACGAATGCGAAGATTATGCAAAAGTGTCGCATGACCCTGGCGGAGTGCAACCTGTCGGCCGAAACGCATCGGAAGTTCAGGAACGCGGCGATCCAAACTCCGGCGATTCGCAGCGAAGTTTCTCAACACCGAGACGACGCTCCGCGACGTAACAACGCCGCTGTGGGAACGTATTTTTTTTTTATTCTCGTCTACATCTTCCGCCTTGGCTTGCGAATGACCGAGGTGTGTGACGCGAAATTTTATGCATCGACACCGGGCTTATGCCTCCGTCACCTCCGGCGGGCTAGTCCATAAAATATTCAGATAAGATCTGTCGATACGAGGCGAAACGACGTAGCAGCGCAGTCGGAAGCTCGATGTGTGCACACACGAGAAATAAAAGTGCGCTGTATGGAAATTGGAAATTGACGATACCGATATCGACGGACGGCGCGGCGTACTTCCCGGACGGAAATTTAATTCATCATTTTTGCGCGAACCTCGTTCATTAATTAGAGAAAACGTTTCGACGCGGACACGCTGTTGCGCGCATACAACAAGAAGAAAAAAAGCGCGCGCGCGCGGTGCTCGTCGCAATATGAAATTACAGACAAAAATAAATATCTTAATTAGGCATAAATCGAGAAAACGCGCTGATGACGATATTTTACGATGTAAAAAGTATGATTTGGTGCAGTAGAGGAGAGAGGAGAGAGAGAGAGAGAGAGAGAGAGAGAGAGAATCTACCCGATCGGTTGGCAATGTGTTAAAATATAAACAATATATATGAAACGGAAAAATAATAAATTATGTCGGAATGTCGATACACACCTCGGTTACAGAATTCCGCAGTAATTTTTACTTAAAAATTCTCTCCGTGTGTTTTTTGGAAAAAAGGCGAGCGTGGTGGCCGGGCGCAACGTGAGGTATGATTCGGAGAGTTTTGACTCATCGCTAGACTCGTAATTGGGGCGGGTATCCCAATGGAGCTGTTTCATAATTCAAACGTATGCGCGAGTCTCGCCCCGATAACGCAAAAATTTGGAATAAATCAGTGTCGGGAGATTACGGCGCATATTAAACACGCTATACATTGGGAAATCGCGTCGTTAATTTCAGTCATACGTGACATTTGTCTTATCTTTCCTTCGACAAATTAACGGTGGCATTGGCGCGAACAAATGCCGGCTCGAATACAATGGAATACAGTACTCGTGCGATACGAGTAGCTACCGTGTCATAAATTCTTCCCCGAGAGAAACAGGATGGTAATGTGTAACGAGATCTCCGATTTATAGAAAACGTGATTTTACAGCGTGACTGCGGATGTTTTTCGCAATATATATGTGCATATGTGCACCGTTCGCGATACAGGTTTTCGCGGAATTATTCAACGTTAAAAGCATCGGGAATCCATCATCTCAGGAGCGATGTCTCGTTTTTCTTACATCTAATACTCAGCTTTCTGTCGCAACAAGACAGAACGTTCTTGCAATCTGCAACGTGATACCGCACTGTGAGCGAAGACCGACGTCATCGGGCGTGCTGTACACGTACAATTTCCGCAAAGAACATGTCCCTCGGTCTGCTGTTGTCGGCGAGTTCGCCGTTCGTAAAAAGCTCCGAAGATCCGCAGCGAAATTTCCTAATGAGTGAGATCAAATTAATTCGACTGTTCGATTTTGACCGAGCGAACAATTTCGCGGAGAAAATAAATACGGCACGCGAAATAGAGAGATAAAGAGAGAGGAGAAGACAGTGACGAATAGTGACTTTTCGCAGCCTGATGTTAATACTATAATATTTCAAGGGCCTCTTAACTGCTTCTATATCTCTTTACACAAAATTCCTTAATTTTATAGACCTATGGAGAGATTTTTTATATTCCTTATATTCTTTCCATATTGCAGCACAAATACTATTTCAATTAAATAAATACATTTTTTTAAAGGAATTCCTTGTCTGTTGAATCGCTTTCATCTATTTAAAAAATAAAAATATTTCTTACGCGACAATTTGCAAAAAGATAGCGTGTTTTCAATGTGAGAAAGCTCAGAAATTATGATTGCTTTCAAGTGTAGGAATTATAGCAACTGAGGTTGAAATAATCAATTATTAATGTTAGACCATTGCCAGTGATGTAATAGACAATTCGAAATTTTATACTAAAAGAGACTTCCTTAGGGGCCCTGATACTCCACTATCAGTTTCTATATAAATCCGCTATTGGAAAGGGAGCACACAAATGGAATGATAAATCGCGGACAATACATTCTTTAAATAAATCCCGATTGCTTTTTCTTCTATTATTAATTTCCATCGTTTCAGACTTTCTGAAAAATCGAACAAGCTCGTCCTCTCTTTTTGATCTTTATTCCCGTTGCTCCGTGTAAACCACACTTTTCTCGCAAGCCACAACGTGACGCCAGATAGCAGACGATATTAAGCGTCCGGTACACGTACGATTCCCCCGCGAGAGATAGGTTGCCGTACACGTGCGCGACTCTGTGTAAAGTCGACCACACAACTTTATCTCAGGGGCACACCGATGTTAAACTTCGAATAGTTCGTCCAGACGTCCCGAGAAGAAGAGAAGAAGAAGAGAAGGACGAGAGCAGACGAGAGAAAAGACGGGGGAAAAGAGTATTTAAGGACTGAACGAAATTAATCAAAGGTTCTAATTCACGGTAGATAAAAAAAAAAAGAGGTAACACGCCACTTTTCCGTGAAAAAGGCGAACTTCTGCAACTCCCTTCTCAGATTCATCACAAAGGGGAGGCCGATATCGGGAAACTATCAGTCGCACGAACATGAGACGTACGAAACGAACTCCATCATTCATGAATACATATATCATTGATATATATAATTCAATAGTTTTCACCTCACTCGCGCACCAAATCTCCCTCTCTCTCTCTCTCTCTCTCTCTTTCTCTCTGCGACGTGTCTCCTCACGCTAGAGTTGAAAATGCACATGGCAGGAACAACATCTTTCGCAATAACATTTTAAGACTTTAGAGATTGGAAGGACGGATTAGATCCCGCGGGAGCCTGAGCGTCTCTCGCGATAAATATGACGCGACTACGTATATATTTTCTTATGTACTTTGAAATGAATTCATTAATGTGTCACACGGAAACTAGGCAAGAGCGGCTCTCTTTATCTCTATCTCTCTCTCTCTCTCTCCGTGCCCTCTTGGAACGGCATGGCGGTACGGTGATAAAAATTGCTCTCCTGGAGAATCGCTTTGATTAAATTAAGCCGCTTTATTTTATACGAGGAGCATTGTGTGCTAACTAATTTTAATTAAATTTAAAATTCATACCATTTAATTCTTTGTGATCTCGAATAGCGACGAGCTCGGACTTTCTCTTTGTAGTTTTGCGCGTTGCATAATCGTATCGCTGTGAAATTAAGTGACCGTGAAGGACGAAGTACGCACGCGTGCACGTATTTGAACACATTTGCATTCGCACAACATATATAAATAATAACACATAACGCGATTCGACCGTTGCTGTATTATCACCGAAATTACCGACATCCAAATTGGATCGTTTTATTCCTGTATCTTGCGTACACACACGCACATTTGTACATACACACACTCGCGTACGCGAGATTATACTGGAGATCTTAATGCCGGTAGCGCACTGGAAAGGTCGATAAATCATTATTTCGTAATCTAATTATGCCTCTCGAATATCATAAAGTACGATAGACCACCATTTATCAAGATAATTGATCGAGCACAATGCGAAGATATCGAAGCCCCGCGACTGCTATTCGCGTTACTTACAATGGGGATTTTGCCAATGGGCGTGTTAACGATTAATTTGTCCCGGAATTCGACATCTCTCCCCAGTGGTGGAATCTCCTCACAGGAGAGACGGCGACACTCTCTCCCCCCTCTCACCCCCGTCCGCTTTTTTGATCTACACCGGATACTGCCGCTTTTTCTCTCGCCTTTTGTTTCGAGCATAAAAGAACGATCTGGGGCATTCTGAATCGGGCGCGAGCCAGCGCGATGTAATTGCCCGCACATACCCCGCAGAAATCGTGGAATTTAAAAACGACACAAAGTTCGGCCCCTTTGTAAGTGCGAGCGGTGATCATTCCCTCCGCCCCCCCTTCGCGGGCTTTTAACCAAATCGGCCTGTTCTGAATTTTCCGATCGGTGTCACTTTTGCACAAATAATTTCCCTCCTTCCCTCTCCCCGATTGCTATTCGATTTGATTTTAAAGCGTCGCTCGGCCATTCTGCGGAAACTAACGAAGCGGAAGCGTAGGGTGTGTGCGAAAAAGAAATTAAGATTAACTCCGGTTCACCGCACTCGCATACCGTTATATGCGTTTTTGTACACGCGAGCGACGCAGTCCGTTCATAGGCCGAATCGTTCTATCATGGCGGTGCCCTCAATGGGGTGAGCGCGGAACGCGCGCGACTAGTTGATCAATACAACGAGGGTTGCCACCGAGGTGTGTGTACTCGCGTCTCCGCTCTAAGGACGCGCGCCAGCGATCGTTAATTTTATTTCATCTCGATTCCTATTCCCGCGAGAGACAGCATTTAAATAGGATTTGCGCCGCGTGTCGTTGGCGATGCTTATCGAGCGGCCCTTTCAGAACGACGAGGCTCTCTTAATGAGATCGACCGGAAAGATTTTGCCAGTCGCAAGGAGGGGATGTGAAAATTTCCACCGCGGAATTCCGTCGATATGATATTTACGACGACGGAGTTCGTTGAACGGACGAAGGAAGCCCGCGGCTGCAAGCACGAAAATCGACTGCCGACCGAATATAACGCACCACCGTCGGTAATAAGTGAGCGTAGAAGCTCTCGAGTGATCTTCATCTCATCCCAGATGAATTTTTACCTCATTTCCATCTAGATGAATCTGAAATCATCTAAGCATTGGGCGTATCGTAAAAAAGATCTAAGTGGACGCAATAGACAACGTTGTAACACGAGTGTTTCTCTGTTCCAGGTTTGTTCGAGACGGACGGCCTGCTGGTGCCGGGCACGATGTGCGACCACGAGTTCATCAGCTCGCAATTGACACCGCAGTACGGACGATTCTACTCGCCGCGGTACCCGTCCTCCTACCCGAAGAACATCCGGTGCTCCTACCTCTTCCGGGCGAGGTAACTAATCTGACCTACTCCTGAATCCGCTCGCTGTTCCGGCCCTAATCCATATATAATGCATCTCCGCGGCTAATCTCCGTCCTGGCCATACATCCACTGCCTTCGCGCGTTTAATGACGACAGTCCGCGATCCCGCTCGCAGTTAATTAACACCCAATCTAACGTATCGGACGATGCTCGATCATCTCGGACTCGGCGAACCGTTCGATAATACAATCTTAGAGAGAGATAGATCGGACAGACAGACAGATGCGTTATTTATTGAACGCTCTAGGACAAATATTCCCAAGTGTTAAAGGAAACTAGATTACTAATTCTTTCATATTCGTATTTACGTTATCTGACAAAAGTATTTTACGCCATCCTCCTCTTCTTTCTTATATTGTCGCGGATAAGTGTGATTCCAGGCAGCACAAAGTCCAAATTTGGAATATATGAAATGTATTTTCGACTTAAAAACGACTTAAAGATGTCTTATGTCTCGATTTTGGACATTTGTATTGTATGGGATGTTACTTTAGCAGAAATAGCTGGACGATTACTTAAAAATTCCCAGAGAGATTCTTATAACAATTTGTACCGGTTTGAATGTATTTTGGTGGGAATCCCGTTGCATGCAGTGTCTACACGCAGAGAATTTTTCTCCAAGATAAATATTCATGAGAGCTGAAAAATATCACAGTAATATCGCCCGGTTATACTAATTTCCGACTTCTGCATTAGCGGTTAATATGTCTGTCACCTGCTTGGACATCAAATTAATGATTATATGTTTAACTTTATACGTTAACCGATAATGTGCAGCAGCCAGAAGTTAGCCATACAGCAGAGCCGAAATTATGAAGGTAGCAGCCACCCGTGAAACTTTTCACTTTTCACCGAAAAAACTTGTAAAATTCACGAAATAAAAATTTATAAAAACTTATAAAATTTTTAAAACTTGTAAATTTATAAAATTCCATGATATCGTGCATCGTCGTATTTGTCATTACAAATGACGTTATACAACTTTCGTTACATCGAGATATGTATATTACTATAAATTACTATTTATACATCATGGTTCTCTAGCTTTAATAAATTTCATAGACAACCACTAGAGTTAGAGTTGGTTAAAGCTAATTAATTTAATATATATATTTTTTATTCTATTCCACCTTTTTCTCTATCAGTGGTAAAGTAAATTTACTAGTAATTTTAAATTATACTTATATTATATTATATTATAGCTTATAGTATGTTATATTAATATACTATATTATTAAACAAAAATTTTCTGTGTAACTTTTCGCAGTTCCTATGAAGAAATGTTTTTATGTTTTTGTACGGCATACTAAGGTACAACAAGTAGATCCAGCGGAGCTCTTATAATTCTAATGGAGATCTCGTTTCGAAAAGTGAATCTTCTAAACATCAGCTCGGGTCTTCCATTCTGAGTGATATTATAAGCAAGGCAGCTGACAAAAAAATTACGTCTCGCATTTGTTCGGAGTCACTGCAAATCATTGTAACAAGGAAAAATAAGCTCGTCTCTCTTGGGGGGATGTCGTACTTGAAAACTTTGACGGTAAAATATTGACTTCTTTCTGTAAAGTTTACGTCATATTGGCTACACAGAATTATACAAATATTTCTACACAGTGAAAGTACGTGCGAAAATTAATTTAAACATTGCTCAATATGTGACGGAAGCAATAAAAAATTTCAAAATTGACATCTCTGTCGAATTAGCATAAATACTGACTTAATACAAAAGTCTTGCAGTTTGTACAGAGTATGTCGATACTTCGATAAAAAAAAAAGTCAAAGGGCATCTATATACCTCAATTAAATGTAAAGGCTTAAACAGATACGAGAAGCAGAAACATTTTTATACATTTTGGTTAGATTTTCCGTTACAGTAAAAAATGTTGTGCAAATAACGATCCGTTGAAATTTGTATATTGCTTTAACATAGGAATATATTAAAAATGCACAAATATATATTAAATTAACATATTCACTTTGTTAAAGTAACAAAAAATTTCAGTGAACCCGTTATTTACCCAAAATGTTTTACTATGTAGATATGGCAAAACAGAGTAACGTACATTTATTCGCATTTGCATTTATATCGCACTTATATTTACATAAAATTTACGGAAAATACAAAAAATAGCGCGATCGTGTAACTGTTTGTGTAATATGACATTTTGAGGATCGCCTATATATGATCGACGTTTATCAAGTTGCGGCTTTGGCATCCCTTTAATCCTCTAGACAAATCTAACACCTGCATTCAAGGCCCGAGTTTTGTTTCTTTCGTCGTATCTGCCATGACACGTAACAGAACGAGCGAGAGAGAGGGAGGTACAAAGCGGACGTTAAATTATTAACGCGCCGCGGGGAAAGAGCGTCGAAAGTCGGGCCCTTCCCGGTTGACGCTGTTGAATTTTCCTGCCGCGGTTTCGCCGTCATCGGAAATTTTCCGGCTTCCTGCCGGCGGCCTCAACTTTCGTCGTTCCTCATCTCGGCTCCTTGTTACACAGCCGCCGAAAGTTCATGCCCGTTCTGTCGCCCGTTTCGTCGTGGCATAAAAGCTGCACCCGGATAGCGGGAAAAAGCGGCAAGTTCTTGGCACGAAGCTTCCCCTCCGCAGGAAGCGCGCGTTCCATGCCATTCTCTAGCCGTTGCTTCCGCGAAACAACGCTACCGAGGCTGCTCGTTCACTCGCACGCTCATTCGCTCACACGCTGAGAGAGACCCCGGGCGAAAATGTAATCCGCCGAATGTCGACCGGCGAAACGTTAACAAGCGGCGAGTATTAATCCGCCGCGTCGGAAGAGGGGAAACATTATTTATCGCGCGTCGCCCTAATCTCGAACTCGCGCCCACTTTTACACGCTACGCCTACGCGAACTATACGCTATAATTCACCGTTCCGTGCCGCTGAACGGTCATCAGTTTCGCGAATGTCTGCCGGGTTATCAAAGGAAATAGTCAACGGAGTCGAGTCGGAACGTCGCTCAATCGTGATGAATTTAATCGCGGCGCCTCGCCACACCGCCGTGTCGGGGTCAGCGCGAGGATATGATTTCCGTAGTATTGTGGGCCGCTGCTTAATTGCAGTAATTGTATCAAAGTAGCATTCGCATACATACGTCTGACAGTTATGTCAACGCAACGCCGCCATGCGCTATAAAGCCGGCGGATACGTATGCATATATATATATATATATATGTATTTATATATGTATGTATGTATGTATACGAGCCAGTCTATCCGTTAGGTATTCATGGCATTCACTCTGTATTAAGGTGCCGCAATGTTCTCAATAATTCGTCTTTGTCACGCGACGATCGCGTTCTACGAACCACGTGCGCGTCTCTAAACGCTCGTTTCGTCATATACGAGAAAGTTATATAAGTGTTCATAGTCCTATATTTAAGATCGCCTCAAGTTCGTTTCCGTATTGTACGGCTAATTTCATTGGCTACATAACGTTCGAAGGTGAAATTAAGTTTACGATTTTAAATGTAAGAAGAATATCGCTCATAAACTTAATCCTAAAATACTAATCCTCTTTTGGCGTGATCAAATTGATAAATAGATTAAATAGGTAAATAGATCTTCTTAAACCCTGCAACTTCTATCTGGAATATTTCTTTTACAAAATTGATATCTTTCCAAATATTTCGGAGTCTCGGCCTTTTATATGCGCTCTATATAAAGACACTCAGTCAACACATCCAGTTGTTGCTATATAACTTGGAAATAAAACAGTTATATAACGAAAATGTCATAACATTTATTATAATAATTTTGTAATTTTACTGTCTTTTCGTATATATAACTACCCGGTCAATACATTTAGTTGCTGCTATATATACATAGAAATAAAAAGTTATATAACAAATATGTGATAAAAGTTATATTACAGTTTTGTTATTTTATTGTCTTTCTATACGGAATCAACTATATATAGTCAACACAGCTGTTTTTTTTTTCCACGGAATAAATTTTTTCGTTATATTTTTTTTATTTTTCGACACAGTGCTTTCTTATAGAGAAGTGCTCTCTGTCGTTTAACCATAAATCTCTCTTCGCAAAAAGAAAGAAGAAGGGGGAGATTTGGTCTCGGTGCGCTGTTCGCAGCCGCTGCGCCGCCGCCGTTTTAACAAATTCATACGCTGGGTACGCTTATAACGAAATTAATTACAGCTCTCGCCCATCTTGTTTCATTAGTACCGCGGGGGTACAAGATAAACCGCGCGCGTTACGCGGCACCGCTCTGGCAAAAAATGTGTGTAATAATATTTCCACATTCGCATAAAAATGCGCGCGCTTTAATATCGCGCGTCGTATTTAAAATAGCCCCATCGCGGGGGCTAATAAGTAATATTACGGGGCGATCGCGTATTCACGAGACGAGAAAACGCGCGTAGATTAACTCGCTTTATTCCTGTTCCAGATTGAAGGAGAGAATTCGCCTGGTCTTCGAGGAGATCTCTCTGCAAAAAGGAGACCTGAGGTGAGTAATGTTGCCTCTATCTTCGCACCTTCGGTCGCTCGTCGGCGACCATGATGACGACGACGACGACGAAGTAACACGCGAAACACGTACCTCGCGAGTAACGACAGCGGGGAATAAATCAACAAATTAAAGATCATGCCGCGCGCACGCGCACTGCCCCTGCGGCGCATTCACCGCGCCTGTTTCGAAATTTCGCCCCGCATAAATGGCTCACAAATGTTTCCCCTTCCGACGGCGTCCCGTAGTTGATAGATTCTCAAGAACAACGTTCGGTGCGATGTGGGAGGGAAGAAGTTTGCCGTACGTACCGCATATTCCGGAGATAGAAATTAAGTTTCGCAAGTTTCGAGAGAGAGAGAGAGAGAAAGCGGGGGAGATTTAGCGGGAGGATCAAAGTCGCGAATTCGACGAAGTATGACCAGGGCTGCCTCGTCTATGTAAAAGATGCGCCATTAAGCCCCCCGTTGCGATAGGACGGCATCGACGCGACCTGCCGATTTAAAAGTTTCAAACTGTCGCCCGTGCGACGCGTTGGAAACAACGCGCGCGACTAAAACTGTTCGCGAAGGAGAGGTGCCAGAAGGAGAGAGAGAGAGAGAGAGAGGGATGCTCTGGACGGACATAAATCGTCGTCGGACACGACGTCCCTCCGCTCGGGCGATAAGTTAAGTTCGGAAATTACTATTTCGCACGTCCGAGATGCGATTCACTTCCCTGCGTTGGTCTCATTTTTATTCGATGATTAACACTTTTCCGAACACTCGCTCGATAGTGAATTTATCGATAGATACATAGAACAATCATATATTCGTGGATTAGGCTATTTGGAACAAAAAAGTCACTTCGGCCACTTCGAATCTTTCAACTCCCATCGTACTTTCCGCGCCAATAACCCCGCAACTCGAATGAGGCACGAAATGAAAGGCACGCGGCTGTTAAAAACTTGAAGACGCGTTTGTGTGTGCACATGCGTACATACACCCAACGGTGAGCAGTGCAACATTGGTTTTGCGCGACTTTCGGAAAAGAGGAAAAAAGAATAATCAAACTTAGAATTACGAGGGTATTCAACCGGTTATTGCCGAAGACGAACACGCTTTTTACAACTTCGGTAACAGGTTCCACATCCGTCAACTTTGTCGAGTTTTCACGGAAAGCCAGATGTAAGGTATCGCATAAAGGCGAAACAACTTGGACCGTATTATATCGAGCACAATCCCCGGATTCCGAAATTTTAACTCTATGTTAATTTTTAATTCTACAACACAGTATGAGCTGAAATAGCAAAATAAGTTTAATTCTAATGATAAAATTTAGCCCTACTTTGACCATTGTATTGTTTTAAATTTCCTCTTTCGCATTTCTGTTATTTAGCAATAAAACAAGTTTTTAAAAAAGTCTTTTAAACACTTATTTGAACTTTTATAATTAAAGTATCGAGGACATTTATAGTTTCACGAGGTAACATTAAAATGAAATCCGCAGAATTAAAGCTTCAAGAGAAAGAGAGAAAGAGAAAGAGAGGAAGGAATTAACAAGTGCCGTGAAAATAGGTTTTTCGCAGGTCGGTAAATTATTTAAATAGATCAGGCTTGCGGTCGGTTTGCACTTTTCCATGGGTAACCGCCATCCCTGCTTCTCTCGTTTCATAGCATTTAGATTTCTCTCGGAGATATAAGATCGATCTCAGGAATGATATTAAACATTGAGCAGCGTGTGGGGCAACATTCGCCAAACCCCATACGATTTCAAGTTAATACCATCCTCGAGATCGAGAGTCTTACATCTCCGAGAGGTATCTAAATGCTATGAAACGAGAGAAGCAGGGATGGCAGTCGGCGGTAACCATGGAAAAGTGCAAACCGGCCATAGGCCTGAAGTAAACGCAGACACTCTTTTATTTAGAAAGTCAATAAAGCATCCTTTCAACTCGGGTTTTTCCTCGATTTCCAACGAATATCCGAGTCGAAATTTTGACCATAAAATAAAATAAAGCAATTAATTAGATGTTATGTGCCTAAAAGTTATTTGTACTTTTGTAGAAAAATAGTAACGTGCAGTCTAATAATTATCATTCACAACACGGTTACATAGTAAAAAAGTCAAAGCAGCATTAAAATTTGGATTCGATTGATCGATCCGATATAGTAGTAGTAATACTCTTTAAGGTCGCCGCTAAAGAATTAATCGGTTTCTCTCTAATACGGCCGAGTGGTAGTTATCGGGGGCCGCGAGGAGAGTGCTCTCTCGCGGTGCGAAAGCCAAACGCTTTTCTATCAATTATTTATCCACCCAGCGAGAGAGAAAACACGTCACCGCCGCTCTTAACAACTTAATCACGAAGCACTTTTCTCCGCGGCCCATGAAGCTTTCATATGTGTGGCCCACCCGGCGGAAGTATACGGTAAATTTTAAAGACGCCCCCTTCAGACGGACATCTTCGTTACTCTAATTGTGAATTACGACTCCTGTCGGTTATTAACGTTTAAGAGTTAACGAGGCGCGGTAACGAGCATCGGAATCGCGGGGGCGAAACTTTTCTATTTAAAACTTTTTCTTCTCCCGATGCAAGCATAAACCTCGTGTGTGGATTCGCCGGCCGCTCAAACGTGGCGTACGCCGCGCGATAAGCGCGGAAGACGGATTAAACACGCGATAGTGATTAACGCGCGATAAAGCCGGCGCTCTCTCGCGAATTCTCTTCATTTACGACTCTTAAATCTAATCCCGTAATTGACGTGCCGGTAATTAACCGACGTAAACACACGTCGCGAACGATATCTGATCTGCCATCTCGTTTGCCTTCGTCTGTCGCCTCGTCCCGCGCGCGGGGAATCAAATCCGCCGAATCGAGGATTAATTCCGGAGTAAAATCTCTCCCCCCGCGCGCGCGCGCGCGCGTCCGCAGCGATCGTAAAAGTTACTCTGCGCTATCTGAGCATTTTATCGGCGACGACACGAATAGATAATCGGCGTCGATTGGCTCTAAGGTAAAACATTCTGGTCGGTGGGGCTGGCGCGGGCATGAGATAAAGATTCTCTCTCTCTCTCTCTCTGTCGACACGCGGGGAGGCGTAAAGCCAAACGAACCATTAAACTAATCAAACTAACTCGTCGGGAATGTTTGTCGAGGAGCGATAATGGCGCCGACAACGTAGGCGTTGTCGCCCCGATATCGAGTAACGTTGATCCGGAGCCTGCTGAAGCTGATTCGCGCGGAGCCGACGAACAATCGCGCGAGGAACCTAATAGGAATAGGCGAGGTGTCGCCCCCTTCCCGAGTCCTGCTGAGTCCTTTGGAGCGATTTTCTTGCTCAATGTCTTCTCCGATATGTGCGCTGCCGTTTGAAGTATATCTCGGAACAATGGACAACGTGTCGGCCGTATATCCGGGGAAGCGAGGGCTACTTTACGCGTCCCCTGCATGGAATCTTTCCCAGATTTTTCCATTTACAACATAGGTTCCGATTAGAATACCCAAACTCGTCCGAAAATATTAGGGGTACCCATAAGTAATGTCGTTTCTTTTAGATCGAATAAATATCCACTACGAGGTTCTGAATCCCACAATGAAATCATAACTGCTGAATATTATTGCACACAGCTCGATAGACTGAGCTTTACTTTGCTTGATTAAACTGATAAACTGTACTAAATATTATATAAAATAAAATTATGTATAAATATAAAAAAAATGACGTTACTTATGGGTACTCCTAATGGATTATTTAACTGCGACATCAGTTGGAAATCTCATTCTTATCCTAAATGTATTTTCCGCTTCTTGCGCAAAAAATGTCTTATTGAAGAAAACTCTATTATTTAACGGAAAGAACGCTATTATTTCAAATAATATCTTTCAACCAAATAAAATACTATTTGGTTACAATAAATATGTAAAATGAAACAAATATTCTTTTTATAAGAAAACTCGTTGCAAACACATTTTTTTATTTAAGATAAAGACACATATTCGTTGAAAAATCTAACGGTCGTATTTATTAATCGAAACGCTAGTTTCTTCGGAGCGTGTCAATGATGAAATTTGTTTGGATGTGATAAAATTGATTAAATTCGAAGAAATTTTTTTCTCAGTGCAGTTGAAAATTTTCTTCAAGTAAATTTCCAGCGGGACAAACGCGCGGCATGTCACCGTTCCTGGGGCAACTGCGCAATCTATTGTGAGAACACGAGCCGAAATGTCATTCCCAACGTCATGAAGCAAGTATATTTTCGTCGGTCTCGCCGACAATAGACAACTTATTCGCGGATGAATGATATCACTGTCTTTCCTATTATCGGTTTTAATTTGATTCTCACCAAAATAGTGCGTAGTAGGCTTATTATATCCGAAGAGGTCACACGTAAATAAGAAAAGTGAAACCATATATGGAAATGCGTTTGTGTTAATTTTAAAATTCGTTCAAGTGATGATATTTAAAGAGAGA